TCCAGCTCCCGCCAGGCCCCGCTGACCTCGCTCCGGGAAGAGGATCCAGGTGGCGAAGGGCGGCTGGTCCACGGTGACCGTGTAGTTGGTGACCGTGCACAAGGACAGCGTCTCGTACCTGCAGTAGGTGCCGTCCTGTGCCTGGGGGAAGACACGGAGGCAGGTGGTGGCTTGGCCTGGGACCCGCAGCCTCCAGGAGGGGGACACTACCCGCTGGCCATTCACGGTCCCTGGGCCGAGGGACTTGGCCGTGGCCACCGTGGAAGACGGTAAAGGGCTGTTATTTGCCCCGTGACCCCTCAGGCAGGGGCGCTCTTGGACGTCCCTCGAGGCAGCTGAGCTTTGCTCTCTGTAAGTGACCTGTCCCCCGCCCTTGGTGGGTCGGGCGTAGACCCGGGGTCCTGGGTGCCCTTCTGTCCCCATGGTGGGTGGAGACCTGTCACCTGCTGGGTGGGGGACACGCTGACCTCTTGGATGTGGCCGGAGTCGGTGACGCAGTCAATAGTGGAAGAAGGTGCGCCCAGGTCCCAGGTGAGGCGGCTCCGGGCCGTGTCCATCCTCAGGTTCCTGATGGGCGGCTCTGGACCTGGGATGTCCCCAGCTGGCCTTAGGGGACACGCGGGGTCTTTCTCCCCTCCCACCCGCCATGGGTGACCTGGCCCTGTCCTTGGAGGTAGGCCCTGTCCCTGGAGAGGTCACTACCCGTAGCTGGCAGAAGCCCCCGGCCGTGGGCGCCACAGTGGTCAACCCCGAGGCCACGCGCTCTGCCCCTCCCCCGTGCCTACCCTGGGTGGCGTCCAGCAGGCAGGAGACGGGGGTCAGGAACATCAGGAGCCACAGGGTCCCCATGGTGCACGCAGCTCCTGTGGGACAGGGGAAGGGTCACAAGAAAAGGACAGTCGGCGAGCAGGGAGGTCAGGTGGGGAGGCTGGGGCTGGCTGGGCTCCTTAGGAGTCTGGGTGGGGAGGCTGGGAGCCTCAGGACCCTGGATGGGGAGGCCGGGAGGGAGGAGGCCGGGCTCCTTGGGCACCTGCGCGGAGGCCAGTCGGTGCGCACGGCCCCGCGCGGGCGTCGCCCGTCTGGAAGGAGCGGGCTCTTGGCTCGGGCTCCCTACCGAGGCCGGGAAGGGGGCAGCCTCCCTCGGGGGCACCCACCCGGAAACGCGGAGGGAGGACAAAGCCGAGGAAGGAAGTGGACTTGGAGGCCGGGCAGCGCCGATGGACGGGGATTCCCGGCTGCACAGTGACCGTAACGGAGCGCGGAGGGATCTCGCTCCGAGACAGGAGTGTCCCCCCCACCCCCGGGTCCCCCGGAGGCCTCCCCTGCAGACGCGCTCCCCCGGCCTCTCCTGTTGGCCGGCCTCTGGGACCCCTGGGCGCGCCAGCTCCGGGCCTCCAGGTGGGCCTCCACCGTTGGCCTCCACAGGTGGCCTCCGGGGTGAGCCTCGTTATCACTCTCGGTTAGACGCTGGTCGCTACAGGGTCGTGGCGCCCGGGGCTGCTGCTCAAGCCGAGGACCCCACGGGGGGATCCCCAGGAGGAGGCTGGGGCGGGAGGAGGAGGCTGGGTTCTTTGGAGGTGGACCGAAGGCTGCCTCGCTGGTCTGTGCGAGCCTGGGGGTCCCCCGCAAGGTTGGCTGAGATTCCTCCCGTCGCTGGGTCCTCCAGGACCGGGTGAAGGGTGGACCGTGGAGGGGACATCCCACTCTGGGTGGTCTGCGGTCCAGGGAGGCCCGTCAGGCGAGGCTCAGTGCGTCCCCAGGTCCCCTGGCAGCCCCTGAAACCACTTTCTGTCGCCTGGTTTCGAATATTTCCTCCAACTGGCCATCCTCCTGCCTCAGCCTCCCAGATGGCTGGGATCACAGTCGCGGTTGTCCACAGCCCCCCCCCCCGTGGACATCACATTCTCGTGGCCATCACGGACTAGGTGGCCTTTTCGTCCTGTGCATGATGTTCTCCCGATTTCGTGTCTGACGAAGCAGCTTTCGGAGGCCCATGCCTTTTCACGGTTGAGTAATATTCCATTTTGCCGGTGGACCTCCATCCCTTTTCATGGTTGACTAATATTCCACCCAGTGGACAGGCCCCATGTGAGCCCGAATGCCTGCACCCAGGGACACAGTTGGATGATTTCCACCTTTGGCTACCGGGAAGGCGGAAGCCACCGCCCATGAGCTGTGTCCCACCTGCCTTTGACAATCTGGCAGACACCGTGAAAGGCCCCTCTCAGTCCCCAAACAGGTGCTGGCCATCCAGCCCCGGAAGCCCACCCCCGACCCAGGCTGGACCTGCGCCTTGCACAGAGAAATACTAGAGGAGAAGCACGGACC